AGGGAAAAACGCAACGAGTAACACACAGTGAATAGTGATATTGCGTGAAAGCGTTAAAAATGTACCGAACGCGATTTTCACGGTCAGTTCGTGAATCCAAACGAATAGAAACAATGTGCACTGGGATGTGAGTGATTTGTACAAGAAATACCTGGTAGATGGACGAAAAACCAGTAGTCATTGCAGTAGAAGAAAATATTTGATGCCAAATTGCAGAATGAGATGACAAATAAGATGCAGACTGTGAGTTAAAACGGATATTATATATAGAAAAGGAGTTTGGGCAGGGAGAGGGAACCGGTGCAAATTACAGGCGATCGTCAAGTAGACGAACGGTGGAAGGTAAACGCTTGGAAAATAGGGAACTGTTTTTTCGCCCAGGACTAAGCCGAGTAGACCCGAGTTTTAGGGTGCTGTTGGCCGTGAGTGGAGTATCTGTACACCGTTGCAGCGAGGTGAACCGATACAACTGGCGGGCAGCCTGTTTAGTACACCGGTCGGACAAAGATATGGCAGAGCGGGGGCAAAACTGATTGATCCCAGACAGGACCTCCTCGTGTATCCCGGTGGGACTCAACGACAGTGATGGAGAGGAACCAAATGCCGAACTGGTTTCGGAGGAGGGAGTGTAATATTCGGAAACCTCCTGTTCGGTCATGTCAAACGAACGTCTCGCCAACGGTTTTGGAGAGGCAGACCAATTCACCCCCTGCTCCAATGTTATCAGCTGTGCTGTGACAGAGTCTAGATGGGACTCCATTATGGACAAAGTTCGCTCCAACGGTGTCAAAATGAACTGATCCAATTGGTCCAACTCCAAATGGGCTCCGGAAACATCTTCCGGTGTTAGGGTATCCGTAATCGCATCCAGACTGAATGTGGCCGAAGAACCCAAAGTGTCATACATAATTGCCGGATGGCATAGAGTTTCTTTCAGGGAAGACTTGCTCGAGGGCATGGAGGAGGTGACTGGAGACTGATAGGGACCATTTGCCACGGTTGTGACTGTGAACCAATCAACGTCGGCCGCGCTGAGGTTCGTAGCTGTCGCACACGCACCTGGAGGTCCTAGCAAGATGGAAACGAAAGTTAGATTATCACGTGCCCCAAACT